GATTGAATTCCTTTGCAATGGCTAACACATGCCTTGACTGAGGGAGATCTGAGCAAGTATCTACAAAAGATACTTGGGGGTTTCTCATCACTTGTCATGTACGCAAAGAATAACGACATTCGGGTTGATTATCTGACTGAGTATTAGAGGTAAAGGGTACAGAGTCAGGAAGATTGTCAGCAGCTGACACATTAGTCTGGGTAGAATTAATTTCCTCGACGGAACACATATTACCTCTCTAATACAATCTTGTACCATTATTTTTATGCAAGCAATTTTTGTCATATCTGTCACAGCAAGATTTTGTTGCAAGAACAATTAACTGCTAAGTGAAGTAAATAATCCTTGTTGTGTGTGCCCTGCCACTTGTAAGTGTTACACTTCCAGTTCTGCATCTTGTGTCATTTTTATTCATATTATTCATATTTCTTTGAACAAATTAATTCTTAGTGTAATTTTAACTTCCTTTTAAAGTAAAGTGGGGCTGCTGGCATTCGCTACTACTCTCAACACGTTGACACCTCGGAGGCTTTGCACTTAAATCGACAATAAACGCACACAGGAGGCTTTTTCGTTGGCGCACAAGGACGAAGGAACAATCTTGCGTCTTGACCCCCTATGTGGTCTGTAAAATAAGGTGCTAGAACCTGAATATAAGGGTAAAAAAAAAACAGCAGTGGTAGTGGGATGTGGTGGTTGGAGTTAAACACAAGTCGTTGGGTGATAACTCTCATATTGCAGACTGTGATGGGGAGCCCAAACTGCCTGTCCTGTCGCCTGGTAGGACTATGGGGAACTGAGGCCGAGGCAGCACATCCCACGCACTCATGCGGCATCACGTGATGTCACACATGCTAGTCACTGAGCCTAGCAAGGGGTCATGTATGTAAAATGTATGAATCGTACTATGATACTCAGATAACATATACATATACAGGGGATCAGCAACAATGCTAACAGGTAGGCTTCAGGATGTACGGTACATGTTTATAGAGGGGCAACTGATATATCGGATCATTATTGAGTTGTAGCTACAGTTAGAGTAAGAGGTAGATGGGACAAAAGGAAAATGGCAACAACAAGTAAGATAGAGGGGAAAGTGTATAAACTAAGGGAAGAAGAAGTTTGGGTGAGATATAAGGAACTATTGGCAGAAAGGTGGGCTGGTGCAAGTATGAGTAGTGGGGGAGGGGGGGTTGAAGAAGGTTGGAATGGTTTTAAAAATGCAGTATTGAAATGTGGGGCAGAAGTTTGTGGCTATAGGAGGGTGGGTGCAGGAGGAAAGAGGAGTGATTGGTGGAATGATGAAGTAAAGGGCGTGATAAAAGAGAAAAAGGTAGCTTATGAGAGGTTTTTACAAAGCAGAAGTGTTATAAGAAGAGCAGATTATATGGAGAGTAAAACAAAGGTGAAGAGAGTGGTGAGAGAGTGTAAAAGGAGAGCAGATGATAGAGTGGGAGAGGCACTGTCAAGAAATTTTAATGAAAATAAGAAAAAAATTTGGGGAGAGATAAACAAGTTAAGAAAGCCTAGGGAACAAATGGATTTGCCAGTTAAAAACAGAGTAGGGGAGTTAGTAGATGGGGAGAATATTTTGAGGAACTTTTAAATGTCGACGAAGAAAGGGAGGCGGTAATTTCATGCAATGGCCAGGGAGGTATACCATCTTTTAGGAGTGAAGAAGAGCAGTTTGTGAGTGGGGGGGAGGTGCATGAGGCATTACATAGAATGAAAGGGGGTAAAGCAGCTGGAACTGACGGGATCATGACAGAAATGTTAAAAGCAGGGGGGATATAGTATTGGAGTGGTTGGTATTTTTGTTTAATAAATGTATGAAAGAAGGGAAGGTACCTAGGGATTGTCAGAGAGCATGTACAATTCCTTTATATAAAGGGGAGGGGGATAAAGGAGACTGTAAAAATTGTTACCCAATCAGACTTTATTTTTTAATTACATTACCCAACAGAATACAGTGGACCCCCGGTTCCCGATGCTATCGGTATCCGATAAATTCGGTAGCCGATGCATTTGATCGAAAAAAATTTGCCTCGCTTCCCGATACAAAACCCGGTATGCGATATGATTCGTACGAGACGTGTCCAGTGTTTACAAGCCAGCCAGTGTGCGCGCATCTAAGGATACATTCGGTACATTCTATATTATCCATATTATCACTGTTTTTGGTGCTTGTTTCTGCAAAATAAGTCACCATGGGCCCCAAGAAAGCTTCTAGTGCCAACCCTTCGAGACCAAGGGTGCTAATGACTATTGAAATGAAGAAAGAGATAATTGCAAAGTATGAAAATGGAGTGCGTGTATTGGAGATGGTCAGGTTGTATAGTAAACCCCAATCAACCATCTCTACTATAGTGAGCAGGAAAACGGCAATCAAGGAAGCTGTTCTTGCAAAAGGTGCAACTGTGATTACGAAACAGCAACCACAAGTGTTAGAAAATGTTGACAGACTGTTATTGGTGTGGATAAATGAAAAACAGATAGGAGGAGATAGCATCTCTCAAGCGATCATTTGTGAAAAGGCTAGGCAGTTGCATGACAATTTGGTAAAGAAATTGCCTGCAACTAGTGGTGATGTGAGTGAATTTAAGGCCAGCAAAGGTTGGTTTGAAAGATTTAAGAATTGTAGTGGCATACATAGTGTGATTAGGCATGGTGAGGCTGCCAGTTCAGACCACAAAGCGGCTGAAAAATATGTGCATGAATTCAAGGAGTACATAGAGGCTGAAGGATTGAAACCTGAACAAGTGTTTAATTGTGACAAAACAGGCCTGTTTTGGAAGAAATTGCCAAGCAGGACCTACATTACTCAGGAGGAAAAGCTGCTCAAGTCCTAATGGAGGGGGATTCCCCTTTTAAACAATAGGTTCAACACACTCCCCTCCTCCCATTCCATCAATCATCACCAGATCTTCATTAAAGGTAAGTGTCAATTATTCTATTGCTATTGTTGTTATTGTAATTATTCTATTGCATTAAACTTAATATTTCATGTGGCAAAAGTTTTTTTTTTCATACTTTTTTTTCATTATTTGATTTCCATTATTTCTTATGGGGCTGCAAATGGAAACTGATTCTCGATTAGAATTAATTAATTCTGAAATGTTTAAATTGTGCTTTGCTAACCCTTTGACTGTCGCAGGCCCCTTTCTGAAACTGTCATTCTATGTCGATAAATTTAAAAAAAAAAAAAAAAAAAAATTCTTGTGAAATGATAGAGAATCTTTTCCCGATGGTAATGACACCAAAAGTATGAAATCTGGTTGAAAACTCATGGGATTACGCTCCCGCGAAGTTAGCGGTCTCGGCGACATATACTTATCGGCGATTTCGCAGACTTTGAGCCCTGTTTATAGCCAATTCTGTTGTTTCAGTCAACCAAACTCATAGCTATTTCTTTAGAACTCCATTTTCTCTATCAGTTGAGTACAAGAAGCCGCCCATTTAATGGTTTGAACTACCAAATAAAGTGGTCAGAAATTGGCAATTTGGCCAATTTCACACAAATTAAAAAAGATGACAATTTCAAAATAGGGTCCAAAATAAACAATGTAGACATTCTTGGCACTAAAATAACATTTCCTCTGTTCATTAGTCATGTTTCTAGGCCCCTCTTATATTACTATTGCTTTCTATTTTGATTTTTTATTCATACAAAAAAATACAAAATTTACTGTTATGCAGACTACTGCATTATTGTAAAAATGGTATAAATAATATAAGTGCACTAGTGAAAGAATATTAGACTCCCCAGTTGACGTGTATTGGACTTGTGGTGTGATTTGCTTACTCCTGAACATTGGTAAAAATCGAACATTTCCGCTAATTTGAGCTCAATTTCAAGGTCGTTTTCATCATGAAAGTAATCAAAATCATCTCTATTTCTGTAATATGTTTTCCATTTTATCACTTGAGACCATGAAAACGAGAATACAACGATAAATACTATACGAAAATACACCTCAAAGTCGGCGTTTTAATCCAAAAAAAAACGGTCAGTTTTTTTTTTCTCATTACGCACTGCGTGCTGCAGGATTTCTTTTTATGTGGTGCACACTGACCACACAGACCCATTCTCTCACATGTGGGCCTACCAGCTGTCTCCCGCTAGATTTGAAGCCGCTAGAATTTACGCGTATTAATACGTCGGAAACAGTGGCGCGTAAGATGTATATATACGGCGTAAACAGTCAAAGGGTTAAATACAAAAATTCTGTATAAATTTAATAAAACATAAAAAATGTAGAAAAAATCATTATACAAAATAAATGTATTAATTTTTTAAAACACTATAAATGCAATTTCTAAAAAATGTAAACAAAAGTATTAAAAAAAAATTTTTTTTTTTTGCAAAATTGTGTAATTCTATCAATTCTGATCAATTTTCGCACAAACCCTGGAATCGATTCTGGAATCAATTTTGAGTGTATAGTTTCAGTTTCAGAATCAATTCGAACACGGCTCTGAACCAGTGTTGCCAACCAAAGCTGAGAATTTCTGGCAGAACTAGTGCCAAAAACTAGCCCAGAACTGCGGAATGATTGTGTTGATTGCAAAAAATGCGTGTTTTTTGTGTGATAATTTTACAATTTATGTGTTTTTTTGCATAATAATTATTTTTATTTTATTTTTTAATAATTTATATATTTTTATATCATCTTGTGGAGGCCCCGAGGCTGTAGCCCTGGTAGCCTCCCCTTTAATCTGACTGTTTGAGGTCGGAACCAAGGTAGCCTTGATTATATCTTCTTTCTACCCATTTAAATGTTGATTCTGTACCCTCATATTTTTACTTTGCAAGTCTCTTGTGAAACACAAACCTTGCACATTACAAGAGAGAAAAGTAATATGAACAAAAATAGGTCAATGGTTCATTGGTTATTAGACTTTTTATTACATTAAACCGAGAATTGTAAATAGCAGATTAAAGTTTTATTATTGCTCAAATTATTAATGTTTTTTAATGGTAATTTTCTTTTTGCCAGGTTGTTAGCAGGCTACGGACATGCCTGGAAGACATTCAGGGTCAGTTCCCTCAGTTGCATACTTTAGAAGAAGCCGTTTTAGATCTTGATGATATGTGCAGGGTAAGTCTTTTGTCCTATATTTCAATTTGATCTATAATCTCTAACTTTCTTTATATCTCTTGGGTCTAGTGATTTTTTACATTATTCCATTTTTGTTTACAGATTTCACTTGATTTTTGTCTTTTTCTTTTCCCTGTCTGAAATTTTAAATTTCATTTGACACATGAGTTCAGACCTTTTGTATTATTAAATTAGTTTACAGTACCAAAGTAAAATATGTATTATATATGATTGTATGTAAAGGGAAGCATCCAAGCACCCCCATCCTCCTCCATCCTCTTCATGAAGGGTATGTAATGTGTAGTTGTACAGCTTTCTTAGAATGCTCCTGTAGACTAGCTAATCATTCTTCAGTAGAATTCAAATGCATGCTCCTCTAGACTAGCTAATAATTTGCCTAATTCAGGATGCATGCTTTCCTCTCCAGACAGATAGTGGCCATGTTTCTAGTTAATAGTAAGAACAATAGTTAAATTAGCATTGAATAACTTTTTTTAGTATGACGGATTATATGTTACATGAGGATGACTTGCTCAGAGGTTTTATCATAGACTATGATACTAACCAGTCAGGTAGGCTCATATGTTAATACAGTGTGTCAGCCATTATATTCCTTGAATTGGTCTTTACATTTTGCTAACCGCACACTACACTTGTGGTTGTTTGCTTGCATTATGGTAATGGCAGTCAACCTTTCTTTTCCTGCTGATGCATACTCCATGCCAAGTCATTACACCTTTTCATCACTTCTTTCTTCTCAGCTTCTTATGTTGCTGTTTTGTGTTCCTGTGGGACCCTGATAATCCCCCAAGTTTCTCGTGGTTAAAATAGGCCATGTGGGAGTTCTTACCAGATCACTTACTATGTTTTCATTGTTATTTTGATTTTGAGGAAGCAATTGGCTTGTGCTTGTTAGTTTGAATGACTAAATATAGTACCTGTCAGTTTGTTTACATCTTCTCAGAGCTCCAGTACCTCTGTAACATCAGTATGAGAGCAATAATAAAAATTAAAAGGTAAGTACTCTCCAGACTCAGATTGTGTCCTTGACATTGACGGTGAGCAGTTAGTGTTGTTGACTTGCCACAAACAATGAGGCATCACTCTCCCCAGATTTTCCAAGGGCTACATTTATCTTTTAGCTTTTTCAGTCCAGCCAATACAGGAATTTCCTCTACTAGATTGTGCCTTCTACTCCAGCATATGGGCATTTTTTGCTGTTCATTGTTAAATATAATACCCATTCAATTTCTGAATATTCCTGCAATTAGAAGAAACATAAAAACATATTTGACCACAAATAACCAAATTAAAAAGACATCTATAACATGTTGACTGTATATGTGCATATACAGTCAACATTCAAATTGTGTCTAAAACCTAGTGCATGGGCTGTATACTCAGGAATTCCATAACTTAATATTTACGCCTCTTGAACTTGTAATAGTCGTGCTATCTCCCTACGGTAGCCAGGCTAGATGAAGTTCATGTATACATTGTAATGCTGTAACACTTAGTATACATTGCTGTGGTGCAACACCACCTGGGCCTCCCTTTTTAGAAACCAGATATGTTAGGGCAACACCCATCCATTAGACCCATTTGCAGATTGCAGGAATATTTAGTTACCAAAAGGTGTGTGGTACTTTGAGACTTTGAATTCTGTCCTTGCATCAGTTTAAACATTTTGCCTAAATTTTTCTGGGTGGTGGATAAATTTCTTCATCTTCATTTGGCCGAGGTCTTGTCTGAACTGGGTCATGGGGACCAGGTGTATTCCTGTGCATCCATAACTATTACTCTTCAGCTAGGTGACACTTGTCATCAAGGATTACATATTTTTGTCTGTGAAGCCTTTCAGTTGTTGCTAGTTGAAAGCCTGTATGGTATTAGGAATCTACCCAATATTTCTTTTCATTCCTAAAGTCTCATTTCATTTATTTAGAATCACACTCACATGCTATTATTATCTTCATTAATGGTTTCAGATTCTCTGGTTAGGTTATGTATTTTTTCCTGGTTTTATGATCCAAGGAAAACTGCTGCAGTAAGTTAGTATTACCATAGCATGGTTGTATTCACTCCTTGCTGTTGTTATCAATCATTATCTTGTTCACTTGGCATCTTTTGCAGATTTCCTGCCTGTACTTGTATACAGGGTAATAAACTTGCACCTTTTTCTCTCTGTTCCACTGTTTTGGACCTTCCAGTCTCCTGAAAACATTTGTCCTTCTCAGACTGTATGAGGTACACACACTCTTCCACTTGTGAGTAGGTCATTAGCTGATCTGTGATGACCAACCTCTTCCTCACACTGTGGAAGAGCCTGAGATAATTTAGCTCTTGACTGCACATTTATAACTGATTTTTGGGGTCAGTATCTGCTGCACTCTCCATATCCTCATGCAGTTGCACTACACTTTCTGCTATTAGGGTGTCCACAGTAATCAACACTGTGGTCACCACTGACTCATTAACATGCATATAGTCCTCACTGTCCAGGGAAGCTTCAGACAGGATTATGTGATGGGGTGTGTGCTGCACTGTTCTTGCAAACACAGCTTTTATCTCATGTTTTCTTCAAGCAAAACAACCTAGAGTTTGTTATATTATTTATTGCCTTGTTCTCAAAGAAGTGCTAGAGAGTCATTAAGGTGAGGTTTGGACATTGAAGCATGTATACCCAGGCCATGTATACCCAAGCACCACACTATTATAAGGACCTCTTTATCACCAGTGGCATAACCCAACTCAACTGATATCATTGGGCAGCTCCCACACAGGGCCAGCTGTCAACTGCATTGATAGCAGAATGATGTGTTGCCTGATGTGCAAGAAGAGTATTGTTGCAGGGGCAATGAATCTTATTCCCACTCTACATCAGTTGTTGATAGTCGCTGTTCGTCAAGATTTGTCATAATATTTTAGCTCATCCTTTACCATCTTATGTATGAACTTTTTTCTTTAGGTTTCTTCAGATCTCTGTAAGGTTGCATAACATGTGCTGTGGCCATGAATGGTGATAAATGGTTAGCCAGCCCATGTTGTGACCTTGTATCAGTGATGGGAAGCTCCTGGCAGCTGCCAGCCTGTTTCCCTTCCATCAAAGGTGGAAACCTTCTAATTGAACCTCTTACTGGTTGAACTTGAGCTTCTCTGGTTCTAGCATTACTCCATTCTACATTTTAAGGAAGTCATGGGTGCCAGATTGACTGTTCAATACTGACATCATAGAGCAAGGTGTTGTCCTTACATTTATTCTTCCTGGTGATTCCCTTGATAGCATTATCAAATTTTTTTGTTTAATGACCCATGGGGGTACAGTAGTACTGGTACCTTCCCATGAGGTAATGAATGTTGTCAAATGCCTGCTTGGCTCGTCCATCTCCACCTAGTGAAACACTCAGTATGTTTTGCATTTGTTCAGGCTGCTTGACACCATGTTAAAATGGTACAAGTGTGTGGAGAGTTTCTCTCTTGCAACAGACATCGTGGCACTGAAAATATACTGTGGGCTGAGGTTGACAGCTCTCCTTAGAGAGCACTATCATCCTGACACAGCATTCACTGGCCTCACCTGCCAGTACGACTCCTGATGCCTCTCATTGTAAGTCATTATCCAGCTGCTGTTGCTGTTTAATTTCAGTCTCTCAGTGTTTGGGTACTGAGACAGGTGTGTAGTACTAAGGCAGGTGTGTGGTACTGGGCAGGTGTGTGGTACTGAGGCTGGTGTGTGGTACTGAGGCTGGTGTGTAGTACTGGGGCTAAAAGAGGTCAATATATCTGAAATGCGTAGGGAGACACTGGTCAGAGAAATAGCAAGCATCGAACTTAAGCTAAAAGAATCCTTTAGGAGTCAGGAATCGCGGGAAGAACTAAAAGCCATAAATGAAATCAAAAGAAACCCAAAGTATTTCTTCTCCTATGCCAAATCAAAATCGAGAACAACGTCCAGTATTGGGCCCCTACTTAAACAAGATGGGTCCTACACAGATGACAGCAAGGAAATGAGTGAGCTACTCAAGTCCCAATATGACTCAGTTTTTAGCAAGCCGCTAACCAGACTGAGAGTCGAAGATCAAAATGAATTTTTTATGAGAGAGCCACAAAATTTGATTAACACAAGCCTATCCGATGTTATCCTGACGCCAAATGACTTCGAACAGGCGATAAATGACATGCCCATGCACTCTGCCCCAGGGCCAGACTCATGGAACTCTGTGTTCATCAAGAACTGCAAGAAGCCCCTATCACGAGCCTTTTCCATCCTATGGAGAGGGAGCATGGACACGGGGGTCGTCCCACAGTTACTAAAAAAACAGACATAGCCCCACTCCACAAAGGGGGCAGTAAAGCAACAGCGAAGAACTACAGACCAATAGCACTAACATCCCATATCATAAAAATCTTTGAAAGGGTCCTAAGAAGCAAGATCACCACCCATCTAGAAACCCATCAGTTACACAACCCAGGGCAACATGGGTTTAGAACAGGTCGCTCCTGTCTGTCTCAACTATTGGATCACTACGACAAGGTCCTAAATGCACTAGAAGACAAAAAGAATGCAGATGTAATATATACAGACTTTGCAAAAGCCTTCGACAAGTGTGACCATGGCGTAATAGTGCACAAAATGCGTGCTAAAGGAATAACAGGAAAAGTCGGTCGATGGATCTATAATTTCCTCACCAACAGAACACAGAGAGTAGTCGTCAACAGAGTAAAGTCCGAGGCAGCTACGGTGAAAAGCTCTGTTCCACAAGGCACAGTACTCGCTCCCATCTTGTTCCTCATCCTCATATCCGACATAGACAAGGATGTCAGCCACAGCACCGTGTCTTCCTTTGCAGATGACACCCGAATCTACATGACAGTGTCTTCCATTGCAGACACTGCAAAGCTCCAGGCGGACATCAACCAAATCTTTCAGTGGGCTGCAGAAAACAATATGAAGTTCAACGATGAGAAATTTCAATTACTCAGATATGGTAAACATGAGG